TGATTTTCTTCCCAAAATGTCGAGCCTCCTTCTCTCTCCTCAAACTCTCCTTTTTATGAAAGTGCAAAAACTAGGTTTTTACCTCAAAATTGGGGCTTTTCCTTTTTGGGCCGGATTTGATATCAGGCGATCGCTCATTTTCTCTTCAGGGTCGCTCGTTTTCTCTTCAGGGTCGCCCATTTTCTTCGTGGTGAGCGACCCCTCATCATAACGAGCGACCGCTCATTCTTCTTTGTAACTCGGAGCGACCGCCTAGTATAACGAGCGACCGCTCGTTCTCTGTAATAGCACAGAGCGACTGCCTGCTTCTGCGAGCGACCACCTGATTGCTTGACTGTCACGACGGGCGACCGCCCGTGAAAACAGGCGGGCCGCTCATTTTGTCTGAGCTCCTCCGGACTTCTCGATTCCGCTCCTTTTCCGTGCCTCGTACACGAATATCCTCGTCTGATCGTCCTGCAAGGAAAAGGAGAGAAATATTTCTACCCATGGCCAACTAACGTCCTAATATGCCTAAAATGTTAGAAGAATTGTAATGCACGACGTTAGAAAACCGGTGAAAAACTCGTGTGATCACATGACTTGTGGTGAAAGGATTCCGTCAAATTCATGGTATTGACTATGATGAGACGTTTTCGCCAGTAGTCATGCTGAAGTCCATCAGGATCTTGCTTGCCATAGCCGCATATTACGACTATGAGATATGGCAAATGGATGTCAAGACCGCGTTCCTTAACGGGAACTTGACCGAAGATGTGTACATGACACAACCCGAAGATTTTATCGATCCAAGGAACCCGGGGAAGGTGTGCAAGCTTCAGAGGTCCATTTATGGGCTGAAGCAGGCTTCAAGGAGCTGGAACCTTTGTTTTAATGAGACAATCAAAAGGTTTGGTTTCTTACAGAACGAAGACGAGCCATATGTTTACAAGAAGATCAGTGGGAGCACAGTAGTATTCCTAGTGCTGTACGTGGATGACATTCTCCTAATAGGGAACGATGTTCCTACCTTGCAAGACGTAAAGTCTTGGCTAGGAACGCAGTTTTCTATGAAGGACCTAGGAGAAGCGGCCTATATTTTAGACATAAAGATCTATAGAGATAGATCAAGGCGTCTTCTAGGATTGTGTCAGAGTACTTACATCGATAAGGTCTTGAAACGGTTCAAGATGCAAGATTCCAAGAAAGGAACCTTACCGATGAGCAGTGGCACAGTTCTCTGCAAGAGTCAGTGTCCTACGACACCTGATGAGCGAGAACGCATGGACCGGATTCCATATGCTTCGGCAATTGGATCAATCATGTATGCCATGCTATGTACTCGACCGGATGTATCCTACGCGTTGAGCATTACGAGTAGATACCAGTCAGATCCAGAGGAGTCACACTGAATCGCCGTCAAGAACATCCTGAAGTACTTGAGAAGGACTAAGGATGTGTTCTTGGTATACGGTGGGTCAGAAGACGAGCTCGCTGTAAGAGGTTACACCGATGCTAGTTTTCAATCAGACCCGGATGACTACAGATCGCAGTCTGGCTATGTTTTCTGCTTAAACGGTGGCGCTGTTAGCTGGAAGAGTTCCAAGCAGGCGACCGTTGCAGATTCTACTACAGAAGCTGAGTATATTGCAGCGTCGGATGCAACAAAGGAAGTTGTTTGGATCAGGAAGTTTGTTGTCGACTTGGGTGTCATTCCTAGTGTTGATAGCCCCATTGCTCTGTATTGTGACAACAATGGAGCAATCACACAATGAAAAGAACCCAGATCTCATCAACGATCCAAACACATACTCAGACGATTTCACCTTATCAGGGAGATCATAGACAGAGGAGACATGCACATTTGCAGGGTGTCGACAGATGACAACATTGCCGATCCATTGACGAAGCCTCTCCCTTCGTCGAAACATGAGGGTCATGTTAGGGATATGGGCATTAGATGTTTAGCAGTTCATGATTAGAGCAAGTGGGAGATTGTTGGTTTAGTGCTCTATGATGTACTGTTTTGCGAGCTTTATTTAGATACATTTGATGTATTGACACTTTCTATGGTTTATGGATGAGTGTTTTATTCATTACATGTTTTGCATACTTGATATGTCATGAAATCCATGTATTGTTATGAACAATACTAAACTCTCTAGTCGTATGTCATTGTGGGAATAATGATATAATTAGACTAGTATGATGTGTGATTGATGATCATAGGTATTGGATACGATCACAATCATATATATTCGTTGAAGAACGGAATACTGGATTGACCCGCATGAGATTGTCACTTGGACTAGCGTCATGACTTGAATCTCATATGACGGTTCCATGATTGGATCCTAAGACATGAGATATCTACGGAATCCAATATGAGGAGTTATGTACTTTGAATATGTCAAACGTCCTGCGTAATAGGAGGACTATAAAGGCGTGTATCAGGTACGAAATGAATCATGTGCTGGATTGTAGATAGTCAAGATGGGATTTGTACCTCTCGTAAAAGAGAGAGATATCGTTGGGCCCCTCGTGTGAGCGAGACTGTAGAAATGTGTGGCCGCACTATAGACGAACGTCGTCTATTTCAGACAGTCGAACTCAGTGAACGAGAAAGCATTCAAATCAGATAAGGTGGTTTGTCCATGCCTTATGTTCGACATATGATATCGTGATACAAAAGGATCATCAACCGGAATCATCACAGACGTTCGTAAGATCACAAACTAACTCTATTCGAGATAGGTAGTCATAGTGTCATGCTAGAGACCGCCTATGACTTGTATAGCCGAAATAGAGATTTCGGGTTATACTGCTATATCGGATGAGCCTACAGGGTCACACACAGGAAACGCGCGAGAAAAATGCTCCAGACCGATCGGTCCCTAGACCGATCGGTCCAGAGGTAACGCAAATGTTGCGGGAAAAATGCTCCAGACCGATCGGTCCAGACGTCGGGTTTTCCTTAATTAACTCAAACTAGGGTTTTAAGTGGGATTAACTCAAGGGCACGCCTTCTAACCTTGGTGGCACGATTTTCACAGACGTTTGAGAGTTCTTCGAGATTGAAAACCCTAAGTTAGATCCCTGAAACCCTTGCGCAAAGAAGAACGAGTTCTTCAGTCCTAGCAGACCAGTTCCAACCGTTGGAATCTTTTCCGCCGTGTGGATACGTGTAGAGGGCGAGGTATTCTTCCTATCTACAGTGATCGGACGAACTATTCAATTGATACAGGCCCCGGATCGATTGAGGTAAGCGTTCTAACGTTTCTAAAGATCATGCATGATAGGTTTTAGGGTTTCATAAAAAAAATTTGTTTTACATCCGCTGCGCAAACCCTAGAACCGATCTCTTAGGAATTAGATTCGCTCTAGAGATCACAGGAATCCCAACAGAGGAAAGTATGAGACAAAGGGGGGAGGACCTAGCTTCACTTACTATCTGAGTTAGCATTGGCAGAGGACCCCTTTATACCAACATAAAGGATCGAAATGTGACCAGGAAAAGCAACGGTGCATTCCTGATCAAACCACCCCAAGTAAGAAAACTGAAGGACCATCACGTATCGACATACTCTACCGAAGATTGATAAATTATTGGATCGACTACCAAGAACTCGACGATTCTACAAGATCGACTTACGGTACAGACATCACCAATTAAGGCGAAAGATGTACAAAAGACAAACATCACAGTCTCGATAGGGTCACTTCAAATTTGCGGTAGTGTCGAGAAGACTCACGAATACACCTAAAGTATTCATGTAAATGGTGAACCTTGCTATAACGGATTACCTGGTTGAGTTCATCATCAGAATTGATGCTCTCACCAGATCAACGCACAAGAAAAAAACTTATGGAGAATACAATGATCTAGTGATGCGCAAGATCCTCAGTCTAGACTCATGGAACCCAAGTGGATTCCACTAAAAGCCGGAAGTATCATGGATTTGAAGTCACGATCTCTGAACAGAAGTGCATAGCCTCTTGGACTTGTAGACTATGATTGTAATCAATTCACAGAAGAGTTCGCTGCAACCGGTGACCCATGATTGAGTTAATCGGAAATGTACAGCAGACTGGAATGGATCACTGATGCGAAAACAGTTCAGGCAGTTGAAAGGGAGTTCAACGGAGTTCAACCTTAGCACCGATCCTGATTTTACCATGACCAGAATAACTATATGAGGGTTATACCGATGCGTCCAAACAAAAGACTAGGCTACATGTTGATGTAGGAATGACACATCATCGCTTATGCATCAAGACAATTAAAGAAAAATGAAGAAAACTACCCGACGCAGGACATGGAGCTCGCAGTGGTAGTTCGTACTTTAGAAGTATGGAGGTCATACCTGTATGGGGAGATGATCATGCTTAACACCAATCATAAGAGCCTCGCTACTGGACTCCCAGAAGAACTTGAATTTGAGAGAACGAAGATGGTTAGAGTTCATCGCCAACTATGGCTTAGATATTAACTACCATCAAGGAAGGACCAACGTGGTGGTAGATACACCAAGTGGGGAAAGGATCCTAACGGTTAATTATGTGTGACATCGTTGTATGGTAACGCCCCCGAACTGAATGCAACATCGGGATAATTGTCCCTAAGTCAAGAAAAACACCTGAATAACCCAGTGGAAGAGTGACGTAAAGATAAAACATGGATCTTTTACTCTCTAAATATATGGATCGCGTGGAAGGAAACGGTAACAAAAGGGTATCATCTCGACAAGAAGAAGACTCTGTAACTGGAAAATGAACGGTACATACCCAATGACCTCAGGATAAGGCAAGAGACATTGGAGAAGTCACACCGTCAAGAGCTATCCATACACCTCGGAACAAGTAGGGTATATCAAAAGATATGCCAAGTGATAGACTTGGTCAGCAATCAGAGGAATGTGGCTAAGTTCGTAACAAGATGCTCAACCTATCTACAGGAAAAGGTTGAGCGACAAATATCGGGGTAAACTATCACTGTTGAAAACCCATTGATGACATGTATATATTGATATATTTTTGTATAATAAATATATTATGTTTCGTGAAATTTTTATATATAAACGTTATTTTGTATAGTTTTACACCGATTTCGATGTTTTCGATATTTGGCAGGAAAAATGAAGATTCGAATGTAAACGTTGCATTTCAAGAGAATCAGACAAAAACGAATGAACGAGGAGATATATATATTCGTATGTAATCGTGTGTATATACTTATAGTTTGTATATATATATTATCGATTGAATATATGTAGTATATATGTACTATATATAAATGTATGTATATTTACATATGCATATTTGTATACGTATATAATTATATATAGTGTGTGCATATATAAATATATATTTTATATTTTATGCATAAGGGACGCGTGTATATAATATGTATATAATATGTATATATATTCATAAGGGAACAAGAAGGGCATATCTCGATAACCATGTGCATGCATATCATATGTGTATATATGTATAATATATATATTAATAAATATATATATGTGTGTATGTATATTATAGTACATGTATATATATATCTATATATGTATAAAGCAGAAGCAAACAATGGTGTATGTATATATAATATATATAGAATAAAAATAATAAAGAAGAGAAGAAGATAACTCTCGTGAGACAAAGCCATCTCCCTCTTTTGTTTTTAGTGTCCTCAAACGATGTGCAACAACACTTTTCCATGAATGATGGCACCCACACGACAAGGAGAATGACAACCATTTTCTCGGGATCTCTTTATAAGAAAGGGGAGTTCGCAAAGGGAGGAGGGAGCGATCAGAGAGAGCAGAGAGACACGAAGAGAATTACAGGAGTTTCTGGAGTATTCATCGGAGGAGTTTCAATCAGAGAGTTTCATCTGCAATTACTGGCCATTTCTTTCCCTTACTCCGTTTTTATTCCTATTTCTGTATTTTATTTTACAATGAATTTCTGTCTACACTTTGTTATTGTGATCATCATGTTGCGTGAGTAATTTTATCATTGTAGGTTAGGGATTGATAAGGGTTATGTAATAATTTCGTGTTTGAATCATCTTGAAACTATGGTTTTATGATTTGGATCAAACGAATAGATTTTAATGTTACGAATTATACTGGCCATGTGATTCGTTGATTTTGGAATTTAAGTTTGCATAGAGATATGAAATTTAAATTCGGAAATTATTCATTCGGTTAAATGATTTTTGCATCGAGAGATAGTTGCGTCGTTTAGGAATTGTGATAGCAATCTTAATAATCTTAGGAGTTTCAATTTATTTGGAACCGAGAGGTCGGTAGATTTAAACTCCCGAGATAAGAGGTGAGATTCGAGAGAGTGATCCTCGACAAAAGATATTGAATTCCCCAAACCATACCCATAGTTATCAAGATACATCCTTAGAATAAATTTTTACATAACCCGAAAAATCCCGACACCTACAATGTTTTAAATTGAATTGTGTTAAAACTGTTATTCTGTATTTATTTTAATTTGTGTTTACATTTAGTCATTGTCATCGCCACCTAAAATATCACCGTCAACCGAAACCGAGTAAAACCCGTAATTGTATCATTAATGCCCATGTGTCCCTGTGATCGACCCTAGAATATTACGATTGACCCGTACACTTGCGGAAGTTGTATCTAGGAAATAAAACGAGATTAGATCACACCCTAGATCGACATCAAGTTTTTGGCGCCGTTGCCGGGGACGCAAAACGGCTTTAGCGATACGATTAGAAAACTATTCGGTTTAGGTCATTTTTTTTTTCTTCTTTCGTTCAATCTGTTCTTCACCTTTCCTTGTTGTTGCTCCGTCCGTTTTGTACGCAGGATTTCTCCAGTGTATGACAAGAAGTGCTGGGTCAGAAAACCTAGTTCCTTTTGACCCTGAAATCGAGAAAACTGCTAAACAAAACCGAAAACAACACCGAGAAAGGATGGCAGAACGCGGCGTTGTACCCGCACATGGAGATGAGCATATAAATGAAGAAACCTTTGCGCAGTACAATGCCCCGAAACACACTGAGCTCATGTCCGGTATACGGATGCCGGAAGTTGACATGACAAGATTCGAGCTCACTCCCGCTACTATCCAAATGTTGAGCGCCATGGCCTTCCGGGGTAGGCCAAA